GTTACCTGACTCAGCTACATTGAATATAATAGAAGCTCAGACACCTCTACACCAGTGGACATGTTCTGACCTCCCCAACTTTCTGTGTACAACATCCACATGTGGTCTTGTTCTGCTAGTGCAATAACCAAATGCCTCTATATTCACTCTGCAAGCTGGCTACCATGCAATTTGTTCCTGAATATAAAAGAGTAGCTTACAGAAAAGCCTTCAGGTGAAGTTTCAGAGTTATCAATTAGAATTAAGAATACTCCCACTGTAGTATTAGGCAAGTTGTGTTGTCAGGTTTTCAAATACAGTGGAAAGAGAAATGTGGCATATTTTAAATCACAGGAAGAAGAAAACATTAATTCCAGAAATGAGGTCTGATAAAGGTCTTCAGATTTAGCTCAGATTTAAGGAACCAGAAAAATTATTCCTCAGAAGTTCACCAAATAACTTGAAGAAAGTCCTTACCTATTAGCTTGTTTTCCTTGACAAAGCATCTGAATTCTGCACCAGGGATGAGCTCACACCATTTGCGAAGAACAAGCTACAGGGGACAAACAAATGACAAAGCTTTCTTTCAGAAACTAACAGGTGACTTTTTGTCAATGGGTATACCTTCTAGAGCTACAGCTTTGTTGTAATAAGATGACCACTGGAGTTATTTCTGAAATAAGAAAACTAAACAATCTTAACCTGCAGTTCATATAATCACCTTAGCAAGTATTTCAAAGCAATTAAGCTTAATTTCATAGAATCATAAAGGTTGGAAGAGATCTCCAAGATCATCAAGTCCAAACATCATCCCAACACTACCATGACCACTCAACCTTGTCCTGAAGTACTACATCCACACAATTTTTAAAAAACCTGCAGGGATGGTGACTCCACCACCTCTCTGGACAGCCTGTTCCAGTGCCTTACCACTCTTTCAGGAAAGAAATTCTTCCTAATATCCAATCTAAACCTCCCTCAGTGCAACTTAAGCCCATTTCTTCTTGTCCTTTGGTGGAAAGGCACCTTTGAAGACCATCTAGTCCAAACTAGTTTAAAGTAGAAAGGTTCAGACTGGACATAAACTTTTTCCCTGTGAGGGCTGTCAAGCATTGGAACAGCTCCCTCATAGAGGCTGTGCAGCCTTCATCCACTGAGGTTTTCAGACCATATTTGATAAAATGCCAAGCAACCTGATTTGATCTCATCACTTACCTGGCTTTGAGCATGAGAACAGACTGTTGACCTCCTGAGGCCCCTTCCCATCTTAATTATCTTATGCATTTCCACTTTGTAAAAACACTTATAACTAAAATTATTTCTGAAACAACCTCAAAGTTACATTAATGATAAAGCATGGGAAAAAAAACCCTGCTGTACAACAACAAATCTGTCATGGAATTGGCAGAAAGTTGCTCCCTAGTCAAAAGAGCTGCTGAGCAGAATTAAATTTAACCACCCCAGCTCTATTCTGGTGTGCAGCCAGGCAGGATTCGGTGACGCCTTTGCAGGCGCAAACCAGTCAAAACGAGGACGCAGGACAGGAATAGCAACCAAACTATTATAGTCAAAAGGACAGACTGCCTGGTAATTAAAGCATATCTCTGGCACTTTCTCAAGTTTCTGCATTTCCTAAGCTGAACTATTCAGATGGATCCACTAATATGAAGGCCTCAATTACCACTACTGGATACTGGAAAGTCCCAACACCTATCAAGTGCACTAGAAAAAGCTCAGGAATTAAAGATGGCATTCCCAACGACAGGGTAAACATGGAACTCTGCTCCAACTCTTAGAGGCCCTGTATCTGTAAAGCACATTAGATAGTGGCTTTTTTAAAAAAAACAAACAAGCAAGCAAACCCCACCAGAGTTCATTCACTTTACTAAAGCCATTTAAGCCTACAGAATGATGACAACTGCTATATTTACATAAAAAATTATTATTAGAGAAATTACAAGATGCTATTATAGAAGCGATAGCACCACAGACTGTTTTAAAGCACTGTTAACATCTAGGTCTCTAGCTTAACATTTTAATCTGGTAATGAGGATATGAAAGAAGGTATGATGGACCAGTTCAGGATGTCCCCAGCCACTACACAGCTTCTCCCTTGGTAACCTCAGCTGTGATATTCACAAGCAGCACACTATCAAGAATATATGGCTTCCAGCTACTGAACTTCTACTTCCTGGCAAAACCTGACAGATGTGAGAGAAAATTGCAAGGAAGCTTCAAAAGTGTGAACTTTAGCTCATCTGATCTGTAATTACATGAACTCCTTATGACCTTTAGTGCTTAACCAGGCTTCCCCACACTGCCCAAGCAACAGTTAAATAAAACAAATTCTATGGGCACATACCCAAGCAAATATGGCACCCTGCTTGTGAGTGATTTGTTTAAATTAGCTAGAAATCATGCAAAGGGTCCTACCTCATAGTCCAAGGAAGGATCAGGGGAATCATCAGTACAGTGAATAAATCTGGAAAAGTAAGGCAGAGGCATCAAAATCTGCTTTTACATAAAAGATTTTAGTCATAGTGAGAAAAATAACCCCAAACTGTGAAGCTTAAAAACTACTGTAAAATCATCTCCAAGACACACAAACTAAGTAAATCCAATACAACAGTAACAAATCTTTCAATAATTGTCAGGGGGGAAAATAAATAAAAAAAAAAAAAAAAAAATCACCTCTTTTCATCAAGCATAATTTGGAAGCATTTGAATTTGGACAGGGACAGGGCTAAAACATGAGGGTGTGTTCACTGTTGAGTTTCTTCTGTTTGAATCAGTGCCGTTTCCTTCCTCTTTATTGTTGCACTGGCATAACTGAATTCTCATTGAACCAGATAAATTTGAGCAATTTAGCCTAGTTTCACTGCAGCATGTTTTCCCTGGTACTTTTAATGTTTAACTTCCTAAACCACACAACAGAGACACATCCTTATGCCTTACAGCAGTGCCTTTCCATGAATAAGGGATGCAAACCAGCGCCACGCAGCACTTCTGATGCCACAGCATCGTCTCTTTCTAAATGAAGCGCCTTAAGAAATACTCTTACAAATCTCTTGAGAGTGAGAATAAACAAAATTGTTTCCATAACTCCAAGCAGCTGTCAGGTTTCTGCCCCTTGTGAGTAGCTGGCTTTGCATGTCACCCTTCAGGAGCTGTCAAGAACAGAGGCAGTTTTTCCCAAGACAACTTCTATGTACCCTCTTGTCATTTTATAGCAAACCTTGCAATAAATCCTGTAACATTCAAAGGGAATTATCCAGAGAACATGCATTTTCCTTCCAAGTGTACTCCCTGACCTTACTGGGAACAATCTACTTTGGTACACAGAACTCTGTAAAGGGTCACTGCTGTGCAATAGTCTTAAATGGCAACATTTATGCTATCTCCCTTTGGCTCTGAACTTAATTAAGCAATCCAAAAGTTTAACATCTCTAATATAAGCACTGCACTTGTAAGACACGGCTGCCCAGCCTTCAGTTTGAAGCAAAGAGCTATTGTAAGAGTTCATTCAGCATGCTGCCAGCAGAAATAGATTTCACACGTTTTAGTTTAGACTTTAATCTCCACTACATGCAGTAAAGAAGGGTGACAGCAGGCATGCTTTCCAAAGGTACTGTAATCAAACAGATCATATTTATCTGTAAGCTTATGTAAACAGATAACATCCTTCAAATGCAGTTTATATTCCCTGCAGCTTAAGATCTGTCAAGGCAATAGAAACAAACTCATGAGAGTTCACAGTTTTGCTAGACTCAGAATTCCTCCCTTACTAGCATATATGCCTACCACGCTCAAGAAAACATCCCCCCCAATCAACCACAAACTATACATAAAAAGGCAGCTGAAGGCCAGCACGTGGAGTTTTACAGTCCTTGCACACTAGGACCTGTATTACCTCTCACAGACTTCCATATGAGAGACCAGGGTACCTGCAATCTGCGTCATTCCAGTAACATGTAGTCTTTTCCAGCAGTCAAAAAACAGCCTTATGAATGATCAAAATTATCCCCTGCTCAACCTTCAAATATTTTGGGCAAGTGCTATGTGAGAAAGATACTTCATACTTCCAAGTGAGAAAATTAAACCCTTGAGTACCATCCCAAGTGCTACAGACTGCTCAGGTAGTGCTGCCAAATCAAGCAAGCAGGCAAAATAGTAAATACAGATAAGAATAAATAAAATTACTGCAAGATGCAGTAACACTCTTTTTCTTGAGACTTAATGACACATGACTCAGTACAAATGAGGAAAAAATGGGAGAATACAGCAAAAGACAAAATAAATCCATTTTTTTTGTAGTCTCATTTTCCTTTTAAATAATATCATGATTTTTCTGTCAACAAAAGGTATTACAAGCACTCCTTTTTGGGGATAAATTTTGGGCAACCTGAGGTAGCTGCAATTTATATTTTTTACCAAATTATTGTAGTGATAATTGTTTCGACCCAGCCTGTTGGTTGTAAGGTGCAAGGCTAAGTGAAGTTTCTTTAACCCACATCCTACTCAGGTTTGGAGGTACCTGAAAGAACAATCAGAAAGACACTATAACCCCAAAGTTGAGAGACAGCCAGTCCCTCTTTTCCAAAGCCTTTGAAAATTGTAATTTTGAATACTATTAAGGGTGAAGGAACTAAACTTGTGCTGTGGTCAATAGCTTGTTTATAGCTTTAAACTGAAACACCAAGAACACAAGGATCAAGGCCTTTTTATACGTAGCAGCTGTATGTTAATCTCCAAATGCATGTACTTCACAACAGGACACGCTGCATGAAGCCATTACATGGCTCAGTTTTTAACACTGAAAAAAGCATTTTAAGAAGGTTTGTAAGACCTCCAATACCTATCCTGCTAAGAGTGTCATGAACTCATTTGCAAATCACTGAGATTTTTCTGTGGATAACAAACTACTATGAATATAATGAGAACTGTAAAAGTTATTCTGTACCTGACAGCTCCCCTGCTATCATCTCATATGATTTTAATTAAGGTTTTAAAACTTTAATTTAAAAAAAAAAAAATCAAGAAAAAACTTCTAACAGCCTTTCAGCTGCATCTTTAGTTCTTGAATACTGAATGTTGCTGGAACTTTAATGTTTAAAATAAAATAGGAAAATCACGCACCATTTGAAAGAGGACCTTGCACTACAGTGTAAATTGCTAGGAAAACCAGGAGGTGAGTAAAACCTCAAGACAAAAAGAAAGAGAATAACTAAAGTCCTCATTTTCCACATCCTCTCATGTGGAACTGTCTACCTCGGAACAGGTTTTACTAAAGTCAAAACAAACAGCTACTGTTCTTGCAAAAAGGTACCCGAGAGCCAAGTGAGTTTTTCATGAGCCAACACTGCCTCCTATGTTCTGTGAGGAGAACACAGGCTGGCTGATACTCCTCTACAGCTCAGAAAAACTTCAGTGTTCTTTATCATTTGTAATTCAATATTCAGAAACATTAGGTCTGGTATCAAAACTGCAGTCAGAATGCTACCTTAAAAGCAAAAAGGATTGAAACATCTGCTAGGTTTTAAAGTTAAATAATGTGCTTAGGAGCCTGATTTGCTCACTCAATAGCAAACTTTATCAGTTCTTATCAGAAACAAGCACTTAAATTTTAACCAAGCCCTCTTAAAAGCACCTAAATTTAAAAGAAAAAAAATGCATCTCCCCTCATGTTCCTTTGTATTTTGCACATTAACACATTTGGAAACTTTTACTTGGCACAGTGGGAGCTGTTTTGCCTGCTGTATTAATTTAGAAGATATTTCTTACATACTCAATGTGGTATGGATGTTCCCTTCACTGTTTCCTGGGCTTAGGCAGGGTTAAGTGGCTACTTTTACACTCTTCACTTTATCTGTCTAACCAGATTCTCAGAAAGTTCTTAAGAATGAACTTCTGGAAGCAACAGGTCCATAGCACGAGCTGGGCCAGTAAGATACTAAGAGTTAGTTTCCAGCACTTAAGTGCAAATCAGAAAATGGCCATTCTTGCATGTGACCCAGTGTCCCTCTAAAACATGTCAAAAGGCAATCCTCCAAAAGATGTGCTCTGCATAACGTTGCTTTTCAACAAAGTTGAACTTACAGAACTTTTTATTTCACTTCTACAGTTGTGATTATTAAACAACTGGAAAAACAAAAACAGTTTATCATATATTTTTATCATACACCCACAACACTAAGTTTTTGAAAGCCTCCATTAAAACCTGAAAAGTTAAGGGTCACACCACCCACGAGGTTTTTTTGTGAACTCAGCTAAGGAAAATTTAATGCTTGCTTTGAAGCAGAAACAACATTAACTACATTAACGAGTGCATTGCTCTGAAGTCCTTGTTAAATGTATACAAAATTAACAAGGAGGAAAGTTAACTCCTTATTCTGAACTTTTCAACCAAACAAAGCATCACCAGGAGCAAAGAATCCAAATATTTACAACAGCCAAAGCTTATCTAGTCATGCTCAGTGTACTTGCACTACGGCCGTATTTTTTAATGGTTTGTATTGGAGTATATTTGTATATTCAGCACAGCTGAAGATTTCTCAGAACCTGAGACAGGTGGGAACCACAGCTCCCTGACCTGACCAATGTATACATCGATACCAGATAAGCAGGTAGGAAATGGCAGAGGAAGGAAGAGGCAAACTGGTTTGCCTCAAGTCCCACATCCCTGGCAAAGCTGGATTAAGAAACGGATCTTCAAATTGCCATCATAAAGTCTCTTCCATATTACATCCCATGAAGTGGATTTTTTAGTTAATACAATTGAACAGAAAGCAAAACAAAACTAAAAGGGTATATAATGTTTCAGCTGTTATTTATGCAGGGTAAAAAAAAACTTTTAGACCATACTGAGTACTAATGAAAGAAGTAGAAGCATCATGCATTTACCCTCCTTCTGAACAGCCCTTCCAAGGCATTTGGATGTATTATGTAATCAATTTTCATTTGTTCAGCACTTCAGGTTCTTACACCAGCTATATTTTTAATTTCTGCTTGCTAAGCACTAGGGAACTGGCAGCTAATCAATAGTGTAATTAAGGAAGACCACTGTTCTGATTCAGCAATAATCATTTCACCATTTGGGTGGGGACATTTTGTACTTGGTAATTTAGAAAGAGCATGCACAGACTGGACAATAATAGGTGCAAGTACAACATATTCATAGAATTATAAGATACACAGAGGCCGAAGTGACTGTATTCACTACACACATTCCCCTAGTTGTAACTACAACTTCCACTCGAGTTCACAAAAACCACAAGGCTGCACTGCCCGTGTTCACTCTACCTCACCAAAACAACAAAACCTGTTCTGACAAACAAAGAAACATAATCCAAACTTATACCAACATTAGATTACACTTTATAGGAAGGAAAATAAATACAACACTTCTCAAATGAAACTTAACCTTTAGAGTAGGTGATGCTTCCACAACAGGTCATGTGGTCTATTTCCCACCCACTAGCTGAGCCGTGCTGCCTGGTGCTGTGTGCAGTCTTACCATGCTGGAAAAGGAGTCTAAATGGATTGGACTGTTGCAGTCTGAGGTGGGGTCTTTCTGCTAGAGCTTATTTTCCCACAGCAGGATCAGCAGAAGAGAGTGTGCCTGCTGCATGCTGCTCAGCCTCTACGTCCTTAGCCTGGTGTGAACTTAAAATGAAATTACTGATGGTTCAGGTTAACAGCCATGCTGTGACATCTCACAACATACAAGAGCTAGAAAGGATTAATTTCCTCCACCACTCAGTCAGCGCTGTCTGCAGAGGGCAAGGTGAAAGGCTGAGGCACTAACCTCACCTGGTAAGAAGCAGCACCAGACAGTAAATGCACTGATTTCAGTCTCAATGAAGGTGCTCACACCAGCTCATTCTGCCAAACAAATGGCATAAACCAAGGGCACAAACACACGCCAGGGCTGCCACATCTTCTAAATGAAGTGGTGCTTTCTGAACACTTCATTGTATCCCAAACTCCTCAGAAAGTGCTTAACCAAGCAGGAAATCTCCAAGGAGCTCAAGGCACTTTGTGCCGAACCTCTGTAAATGAGCATAGTAGAATACAAAACCCATATTATTGGATATTCACTAAAGAATGATACAAAGTGTACAGTTCTTTTCACATCCACAAGACTCAGTCCTAAAAGCAGTTACAGCAAGGGACACATTAAATTTTAGTGCTCAACCCTCTGAGCAAACTGTCCTCAAGACACCTGGCCAAGTCAGCTAGCCTGCCATTAGGGGAAACCAGGAAAAAAGAAGCTCCCTGTAAAGCATCAAAGTCTTCTGAAATCACTATTCACTCATCTCTGAAATGTAAACTATGTATTTCTCATCTCTCCCACTCCTTTCATTTTCTATGATCCCAGAATCATGAGTTCTCAATGTTCATAATTGTTTCCCCAGTCCAACACACTCTTCAAACCATCTTCCCACTGCAACTTATTCTCCCCTCAGCCTCTTCTCTGTATCTCATAATGTTGTAGGTTAAACAATGTCAAACCTAGCAACAGAATTGGACTGACAGCATTGCTGGCACTCCATAAATGCAGAGATAAGGATGAGGAAGCTGCTACCTATAATTCTGTTCATGTACCAACAAACCTGGGGAAAAGAGTGTTATTAGAGTTGCAGGAATGAAAAAAGAAAGCAGTTGTGCAGCACTAATACAACTGGTTTCACACTTTAAACAAGACAATTCTTATTGGGTCATAAGCTACTTAACACAGGACTATAATGCTTGGTAACCCTCCAGAAAGCATCTAGAACAAGTGCCCTGCAGTATTTAGCAGACTCAGTCAAATGCAGTAATATAAATAAGCATTAATAATTACTGGAAAACAATCTCTTAGTTATCAAGCCATGGACTGCCTTTTTTCTTTGAAATTCTGCTTTTCTGAAAAAAAAACAAAGAAACAAACTAATAATAGTAACAAGAACACTTAATTCCAATAATTTCATTGTCTTTCAGAAAAAGGCCTTATATTAGAAATTAGTGACAAGAATCAGATTCAGGTACTACTATGCAATTAAGTACTTTCTTCATGTCAGCAGGTAAAATAAACCCCAACCACATTCTATCTGTAATTTATCTGTAACTATTTTCCCTAGGAGCTCCTGGAGTGCATTTGTTCAAGTGCTACAAGAACTTGGCTTCAGAAGGAGCTCTAGGAATACATTAGCAGAAGTCTGAGGCATCTTCTAGGCAGCCAGCCAAATTTCAACAGCTTTAAAACTTGAAAGGGACATGGTAAAGTCACACTGTATTACCATGAGAAGTGGCAACAATAAGGTAGGTAGCAACAAGTAACACCAAGAGGGGTGGGAAAGCAAAAAAAAAAGAAAAATAAATATTAAAACATCACTTGCTTTGGAAAGCACCTCATTAAAAATTGTCTCAGTTTGCATGTACTGCTTTTATATAACATCTTCCTGTTTTGCTTTTCACTCATTTGCACATTAAAATCCAAAGTATTAATGTAAGAATAAGAAGGAGGCTGCTCTTTTGTGGACTGAAGCTAGGTGAACAATTCAGGTTTACTAGAAAGGACTGATTCATGGTAAGTAACAATGAAGATAATTTGCCTTGCAATTTTTCTGCACCAAAGTGGACCTGGCATTTACTTTTGTAAGGTGGAGGGAGACAAAGAAGAAGGAGGGAAGGTGTGGGAGGAGCTTCAAAGAACAACTAAATTACTACTGTACCTGAAACTTATATCACTGTGGCTGAACAACTTTTAAACACGAATGCCTATCTTTGTATTGGGTGTTTGTTACTGCATAGTGAAGAAAAGATCTTTCAAAAGAACTGAAGACTTGCCCTCAGAGGGTTAGAGGGTTTTTGATGAGACATAAACAAGGCTGTCAGCTAGAAGTCTACTTACGGCTGGGTGAGGTCCCGGGTAATGAAGTCTGAACTCTTGAAGAGGAGGAAGATGTCACTGAGAGCTTTACATTTCAGAGAGCTGTTCATTGCTATCCAGTAGGCATCCTAAACAGAACAGATTATCCAAAAACCTTCCTTTACTAGCAGGATGGAATGCATGCTGCAGATCTAGCTAAATATTATCCAACACTGGAGATACAAACAGAAAATTATCTTTGTATTTTGAGGAGCACTTCATTAGCTGTTACAAGAGACAAAAGTTACTGCTTTTCTTATCAATAATCTGTTGAAAGCAGAGCAAATCCATTTCAAAAAACTAACTTTTTGCTTTACTGCTTCCAGGCACTTTCTTGACTGTTTGACTGAACCCAGGTTTCCCTTGAGAATATGATACAGAAACATTTGGGTGCACCCATTCTTAAGGTATAGTTAGAGTACTTAAAAATCACTCCATGGAAAGTTTATTGCTTTTTTAAAAACCTGCGGCGTTTTTAAACTTTACCCCAGGCAAAGTTTTCAACTAGAATCCTAAATGAGAAGAGTCTGACCATCATACTGTTGTGTGATAAGGACACAGGGGTTTATGCAAGAAAGACAGTGCTGCCTTGCATCAGCTTCACCAAACTGCCCTGTCCAGCTCTAATCCAGCCCAACAATGGGCTGTCACACTTCACTGATACCTCATCTATCACTTCCTCCTGCACCAGAACCACTGGCTTCTTCTACGTTCTTCTATATTCATTAATATAAAGCAAAGTTTTAAAAAATTCCTTATGGTAACATTTGTTACAAGTTCTGCAAGTCAGCATCCTTACCCTTGGAGCACTCCAGTTAAGTTTAGGAAAAACACTGCCTCCCAAGGAACTTATTGCTTCTTGAACTTTAGCTGTGAACTCAGGAAATTCTGGTGCCTGAACAAAGAACAACAACAATATTAATTCCAGTACATTTAGTAGTAAAGTGGAGCCATCTTCTAAATACCATTACAAATACATACTGGAGAAGGAATAAACATGTCCAAAATCAGGAACCAAGAATCTCACAACTCTGATGTTTTTTCAATCAGGGGAAATTCAAAGTATGTTTCCAGTTCTCACTCTCATTACTAGCCAGACTCCATGAACTCCAGGGGAAACCCCAAAACTTCAGAACTTTTATCATAAAAGCTGCAGCAGCTGGCAAAGGTGCAAGTCCAATAAACAGGCCCTAAGTACATGTTTTATATCTGATGGTACATTATTGTATACAAATAAAAACCAAGAAAAATTTAAAAGAAACAAAACTTTCAAAAACAGATTATCTAGAATTAAGCATCTCTTAAAAAAATATCTATGATACAAACATTATAGCATTCTGTCAAGGTATTAAAAAAATAGGAAGAAATCTCCATTTTGTAATGGTTCTCTAGTTGCATTTAGGAGCACAGTAAGAAAGCAAAAGTATACAAATCCATTCATAGGCTATTTGAGTGACAGCTCCTCATTTAAGTTTTACTCTTACAAAATGTTGTTAGTATCACTTTAACTAATCAGCTCTTAAATTAGGTCCTAAAGTAACTCCTTAACATATTGCATCAAAAAGAGGACACACTGCGAAGATTTGGGTTGGACTAGAAAACCACATCTTATAAAGAACACTGTCAATATTGTAAACATAAAATAGAGGGGGGAAAAAAAAAAAATCTCCTTGGTAAGCTATGAACCCTACTCCAGGCTTCAATGGAAAATACAGGTTGCTGACCTTTAAAATCATATGGAAGGATTTCTGGCATCTGTCAAAAGGTTTTTCATGTAATAGGGTTTAAAGCAAAAACTATATAAGAGAAGTATTTCTGCCTGAGTATTTTTAAACTCAACTCAAAGGTAACTTCTAGGCTAAAGCTAATTAACATCTCTGAAACAACAAAGCCCTCACAGCCACACAAGTGGCCATAAAAGCTCATGCATTGTGGCATCTCCTTTAGACCCCTCCCAAATGTAAACAATTTAAAAACAAAACAACACAACCACCTCTCAGTGACCTCAACTGAACTGGAAACATTCTGAACCTTTCCACACTACATTAGCCAGTGTCCATGGGAAACTACACATGAAAAACTGAAAAAGCACTTTTCTTATTTTACTTTATTTTTAGAGCTTCAGTAAATTCTAGAAACTGTTCCCGCCAGAAATAAAACTCTTCATCCCCTGCATTCTGATCCAACCTCCCCTTGTTCTGGCAGAAGTCAGGAGTCATACTATATATGTAATACTGGCACATATCAAGCCTCCTTGGGGAAATGTTACTATGTCATTTGATTAATGAAAGTAAAGAAATATACACAAGAGGACAGCTCTAAGGCTGCATAAACAAACTAGATTCTAACATTTCCTAAATTCTCAATGCCTGACTTTGCAACCACCAATATTAATGAACTTTTTTTTTTAACCACAGGATTTTCTATAATCCTGTATGCTAATTCCTCTTCAGAATACAGAAGAAGCAAGGGAAACAAGTTCTACCTGACGACTCACATAATCACAACCACAGCCTGACTTACTGCTCCCTGGGCTGAGAAAGCAACAGAGAATTCTGACCAGGGATTTACTGCTGGTAAGATACAAGTGCCCTGGGCTGACAGGGAATGCAGAACAGCAGTTCCCAGCCTGCCCTTCTACTCTATTCTATGTGTAGTAGGAACTACACATTCCTGTTCCCCAGTGTCTCTCTGTTTGGCTTCCACATCACTACTTGATCCATTCTCATCTCTTGCAGTAACTCCAGATGCAGCTGCCCACCCCTGTTCATCTGCACAGGCTGTTTCTTCACCCTCTTCATCACTGTCAAGGGGATAACAGGCAATCCTTAAAGCACACAAGACTATTTCCAGTCACTCACTGGCCTCAGAGCAGTCCCCAGTTTTCAGGTAGAGAAAACACATTTGCCATGGATGGAAAACATATTTGCTTCAGAGCAATCACCTACCAAATTTATGAGATGGTAAAAAGCACATTGAGAAATTCTACTTTTAAAGACTCCTTTGACCAAATGCAGATGTATTTTTGTAGAAACTACCAACAGGCACAAACCATGGTATTAACCATTTTCAAAGTTCCAGGTTTGGCAGAAGAAAAAGCCCTGCCAGTCTCTGCACAAGGAGACTGAAATACTCCTCTTCTTCCCCCAGGCCTGCTTTTACTGCAGAGCATGATGTTCCATGGTAAGGAATATCCCTTAAGGCAACTTGGGTCATCTGTCCTGGCTCTGTCCCCTCCCCTCTTACCTAGTCACTGGAAAGGGGCATGGCATGGGGCAGACCATGCAACCACTTGGCCTGTGCCCCACTGATGGGTATCACGCCTCTTGAGCACCTATTTCCTTGCTGTGTTGTACACTACAATGACACCCAATTCTAAAATCTTGTGTTACTTCTGTAGCAATATTACCATGAGCTTTGCAAAAGATGTGATGGGTACCAAAATCCTTGTTGCATCTACTTTATCAAAGCTTAGATATTTGAACTGAAGCTATTGGTGTGTGTTAATTTGGCATGTATCAGTTTTAAAACCTAGGCTATAAATTCTGTGCCAGCATATACTCAACCCAGAGCAGGACTGTGTTTATATTGCACCTAATCCAAGGTGAACAAGTCAATACTGTGTTGAACATGAGGGAGGTAAGAGGACTGCAGTAATAGTACCAGTGGCAGACAAGTGACACAAGTCTATTAACTCTGACAACGACAGGGCAACAGCAAACTTCAAAAAAGATGTAAAAAAACAATCGAGGGAGCCTGGTTTGTATCCATCATGATCCTGATTCTAAGCTGGGCACATTGAAAGAAGAGAATAAAGACAGCAAAAAAAAAAAGACAGAAGGCAATGTACTTAGGAGGAAATAATGGCACAGGTGTAAGAGAAGAGCTGTGAAAATGAGCTGCAGGGGCTTTGTTTCTTCTGCAGCCAGTCTGATTAACTAATTGGGAGATATTCAAAGTGGTGAAAATGAAAGACAGCTATATTTAGAGCCATACTTCAGTTCATTTCCTATAGTCTAACAAGTGTGTGATTGTTGGGGATGAAGAAAAGCATTTTAATTTTAGTTAAATAAAATAAAGCCAGCAAGCCTTTATTTTAAAAGAAAGCTGCAGATGATCTACACTGCCACCCACCTAGAATGGCCTGAAAAATGTTAAATACAGCAACAGGCATCTCTAACTGGCAACAAATTTATATCACAAGGTTGCAGAAAGGATAGCAATTACAGACCCACATTAGGCTTTTACTGGCCCTTACCTTAAGTGTTGTAGTATTCTCATCATCTGACCACTGTTAAGAACAAATCAAAGGTTACTGGTTTCCCCAGACATCCTTTTTAATTTATAAGAATATCACAATTCATATGGCTTCCTACAACATGTAGATCAAATCATTGCCCTGGAGCTCCTGTAGCATAACATCACCATCCTCCAACTATTATTGGTGTAAATTAAGACAGGACACATATTGCATATTCAGCACAAGCACTGTTCTGAAGTATGGATAAAAGAAGACATTTATATATTTTAATTATTATTTTTATCACAAACTTGGACATCTCAGAAGTCAAAGAGTCTTTTGACTAGGATTTTCTAAAGCTTTTCTCCAGCACCTACATTCTAGACCCATGATCCATTAGTTTCACTTATATTTCTTTATCTCCTCCTTGTATCTTTTGTCACCTTGCACTTAGAACATTTTTCAGTGTTTTGTCTCTAGAATACCCTTCTGAGCTATTACGGCCTCAGAAACTTTCACTGTTTCTTACAACATCTCCTCCAAATGTACTCTTCCTAATTTTTCTGAGCATGAAACAGCATCAAGTTCAATTCCAACATCATTCATTCCCTACTCATTATTACAAATGCAATTATCAAAAAATAAAAAAAAAGTCTTTTATGAAAGAGCATAGAAATATTTTAAACCTTCTCTGATGTCACAGTATAAATAATGATGGGTTTAAGTTTTTTCAAGGCAACTACCACATCATTATTTTAAGTATTCTCTTCATCTATAAATTACACAAAAAAGTGACTCATTCATATTTTTCTGAAGAGACTTGACATTAAGTTGCATTTTATACTGACCTGTATTTCCTCTCCATCATCACTCCCCTCCTGAGCATGACTTGGTGGATCTTCTCTAAAGAAAACAAATTAGCAGGAAAAAAAATTAAGCACTGCAATTTGACTTGACCATGTAATTACACTGCCACAGCATCTACCAGCTGTTGTCTTAAAATATTTTGTAAGAAGATTAAGCCTCAAAATCCCCAGCAGAGAAAAATCAGAATGGACCAGTAGAGAAAAGTGAAGACTGGACACCCTGGCATGAGACTTGGGCCCTACCCAAAATACTTTGGTTCTTCCAAATTAGCAGATGATTTTCTGCTCTGAAAATACCATAATTGAAGCTTTTCAACCCCCTATTGATTATTCTTTTTCAACTTTTCTGTACTTCAACAGAAGCACAAATTAAACTAATTTTTTTTTCATAAGACAAATTCCATTTAAATTATGCTTTGCCTCCATACTCCTTTCCCAAGAAAAAAATTTATAAACCTTGAGTTTCAGATGTTGACCTGAGAACTTCTGGTTCTGAAAAGGAAACATCCTCATGCTCCACACCCAGAAAAGAAGATTCTATGGCATGTGGATATATAGTCGTTAGCTGCTTCCTGAGAAGTTCCTTTTTCTACACAGGTGAGATCTGCAGCTGCAAACACATCCCAGGGAGAAAGCACTTGACTGAAAATATTCTCTTTAAGTTCTAGGTGTTTTTTTAAGTTTGTTAGCCAATATAACTGAGTGTGAAGATCTTAAAGAAGCAAATCATCTTCTTGAAGAAGACTTACTCACAGTAAGTCAGTGTATTAAGTAGGGCAAAGTCAAATGTACATCCCTGCCACAAAAATCAACTGTTCAACAAGCTAAGTCTCTGCAGACCTTTAATGCACTTCCATAGGGATTAAACTATAAATTCAGTTTCTGAGATCTAGTGGTCAGATACCAGTTCACTGAAGATTAAAAGCAATCTTGACCTCAACTGCAAGATCACATTCACTTCTAGCTAAGAAAGTTCAACTTGGAGAAAAACTGCTTTCTAAAAGGGATTTTAAATTGGAAACGTCTTAAAGAAACTAATTTAATAATACAACTGCTGCCCATTATTCCATTGAAGGCAAGAGAAATGGTTTGTGTAACAGCTGTAAAGTCAAATCCTCAGTTTCAGCTTTTCTGAAGGCTTATTAAAAAACAAACGGCTGCTGCTAAATAAGCTGCACAATTCTGCACAAGCAGGTGACAAAGTTACTTTCTTAAACAATTTTGGATAAGAATTTTAATTTTCTGGTTACCTTTTTTAAAAAAAAAAAAAAAAAAAGAAAAAAAGGTGTTTTGGCAGCTTCAGTTTATATAAATTGAATCCTGAGAAATCAGCCACAGTTCCCTTACGCTCACAGCCTAACTGGCTGCTCTGTGAGAGGCAAACTGCCAGGTAGCAAATGATGGAGCATGGACAGATTTCCAGGTCTGATAACAAGATGTATGCACACAATTAACATCTTACAAGGAAGCCACACAGTGAGATTATAAGCAGAAAAAGAACAAGGCCTGGATTTCTACCACCTGTTTCTCATACCTAGCCAGTTCATTCTCCTCCATCCAAAGCCTGGCACGGGTATGCAGGACATTCAGCCTCATCATATGCATTGGTGAGATGCATGCACATGATTGTATAAACTCAGTCATTACAGATATTTTATATATAGCTTATCTAATTGAGATTTAAATTCAGGTAGTGTAACTTCACTCCTGGAT